TTCCCATTCCCTGTTCCCATTCCCATTTTCCCATTCCCATTTCCCCTCTTCCTCTCTCATTCCCATTTTCCCATTCCCCCATTCCCATTCCCATTTCCCCATTCCCATTTCCCCATTCCCATTTCCCTATTCCCATTCCCCTCTCCCATTCCCCATTCCCATTCCCCATTCCCATTCCCCATTCCCATTCCCCATTCCCGTTCCCTATTCACTGCTCCCATTCCCTGTTCCCATATTCCATTCCCGTTCTCTCTCCCTCTCCCATTCCCCCATTCCCATTCCCCCATTCCCATTTCCCCATTCCCATTTCCCCATTCCCATTCCCCATTCCCATTCCCATTCCCATTTCCCCATTCCCATTTCCCCATTCCCATTTCCCCATTCCCATTCCCCCATTCCCATTCCCTGTTCCCATTCCCATTTCCCCATTCCCATTTCCCCATTCCCATTCCCATTTCCCTCTCCCCATTCCCATTTCCCTCTCCCCATTCCCATTCCCATTTCCCCATTCCCATTCCCATTCCCCATTCCCATTCCCATTTCCCCATTCCCATTCCCATTCCCTCTCCCGTTCCCGTTCCCGCTGACCTCCCCTCTCTCCGCTCAGGCCGGGACTGTCTGTGCTGTTCCAAGACGGGCAGCGGTAAAACCGCGGCGTTCGTGCTGCCGGTGCTGCAGGCGCTGGCCGAGGATCCCTACGGCATCTTCTGCCTCGTGCTGACCCCCACCAGGTACCGGGATCCCCCTGGAATCCCCCGGGATCCCCCGGGATCCCCCAGATCCCCGGGATCCGCGGCTGAGCGCGGGATCCCCGCAGGGAGCTGGCGTGCCAGATCGCCGAGCAGTTCCGCGTGCTGGGGAAGCCGCTGGGGCTGAAGGAGAGCGTGGTGGTGGGCGGCCTGGGTGAGTCTGGGGGATCCCTGGGGGGATCCCCGGGATCGCTTGATCCCAGAAATCCCGTCCTGGGAACGGCCAGGAGCGCCTGGAGCGGGGCTGGGGGTGTTCCCTGCGGGGGGGGCAGTGCCCAGCGCGCTCTGGGAGATCAGGGATCTTTCCATGAAATCCATCCCTGATCCCATAAATCCCATCCCTAATCCCCAAAATCCATCCCAGATCCCATAAATCCCATCTCTGATCCCCCAAATCCATCCCTGATCCCATAAATCCCATCCCTGATCCCCAAAATCCATCCCTGATCTCCAAAATCCATCCCTGATCCCCAAAATCCATCCCTGATCCCATAAATCCCATCCCTGATCCCCAAAATCCATCCCTGATCCCCAAAATCCATCCCTGATCCCATAAATCCATCCCAGATCCCCCAAAATCCATCCCTGATCCCCCAAAATCCATCCCTGATCCCCAAAATCCATCCCCAGCCCTCCCCAGGGCTCTGTCCCTGTTCCCAGAACTCCATTTCCCCATTCCCGATCCTGGCGGGGTTCCTGGCAGCCGGGATCACCATTCCGGGCACCATTCCCGGTTTTCCTGGGCCCTGGGATCACCATTCCCGGTTTTCCCAGCCCTGGGATCACCATTCCCGTTTTTCCCAGCCCTGGGATCAGCATTCCCGGTTTTCCCAGCCCTGGGATCACCATTCCCGGTTTTCCCGGGCCCTGGGATCACCATTCCCGGTTTTCCCGGGCCCTGGGATCAGCATTCCCGGTTTTCCCAGCCCTGGGATCACCATTCCCAGTTTTCCCGGGCACTGGGATCACCATTCCCGGTTTTCCCAGCCCTGGGATCACCATTCCCGTTTTTCCCAGCCCTGGGATCAGCATTCCCGGTTTTCCCAGCCCTGGGATCACCATTCCCGGTTTTCCCGGGCCCTGGGATCACCATTCCCGGTTTTCCCGGGCCCTGGGATCAGCATTCCCGGTTTTCCCAGCCCTGGGATCACCATTCCCAGTTTTCCCGGGCACTGGGATCACCATTCCCGGTTTTCCCAGCCCTGGGATCACCATTCCCGTTTTTCCCAGCCCTGGGATCAGCATTCCCGGTTTTCCCAGCCCTGGGATCACCATTCCCGGTTTTCCCGGGCCCTGGGATCACCATTCCCGGTTTTCCCGGGCCCTGGGATCAGCATTCCCGGTTTTCCCAGCCCTGGGATCACCATTCCCAGTTTTCCCGGGCACTGGGATCACCATTCCCGGTTTTCCCAGCCCTGGGATCACCATTCCCGTTTTTCCCAGCCCTGGGATCAGCATTCCCGGTTTTCCCAGCCCTGGGATCACCATTCCCGGTTTTCCCGGGCCCTGGGATCACCATTCCCGGTTTTCCCAGCCCTGGGATCACCATTCCCGTTTTTCCCAGCCCTGGGATCAGCATTCCCGGTTTTCCCAGCCCTGGGATCACCATTCCCGGTTTTCCCGGGCCCTGGGATCACCATTCCCGGTTTTCCCGGGCCCTGGGATCAGCATTCCCGGTTTTCCCAGCCCTGGGATCACCATTCCCAGTTTTCCCGGGCACTGGGATCACCATTCCCGGTTTTCCCAGCCCTGGGATCACCATTCCCGGTTTTCCCGGGCACTGGGATCAGCATTCCCGGTTTTTCCCAGCCCTGGGATCAGCATTCCCGGTTTTCCCAGCCCTGGGATCACCATTCCCGGTTTTCCCGGGCCCTGGGATCAGCATTCCCGGTTTTCCCAGCCCTGGGATCACCATTCCCAGTTTTCCCGGGCACTGGGATCACCATTCCCGGTTTTCCCAGCACTGGGATCACCATTCCCGGTTTTCCCCAGCACTGGGATCACCATTCCCGGTTTTCCCAGCCCTGGGATCACCATTCCCAGTTTTCCCAGCCCTGGGATCAGCATTCCCGGTTTTTCCCGGCCCTGGGATCAGCATTCCCGGTTTTCCCGCAGACATGGTGGCCCAGGCGCTGGAGCTGGCCCGAAAGCCGCACGTGGTGATCGCCACCCCCGGGCGCCTCGCCGACCACCTGCGCAGCTCCAGCACCTTCAGCCTCAGCAGGATCAGATTCCTGGTAAAGCCTGGATCCCGCGGGAATCCCGGGAATTCTGCTGGGATTGATTCATCCCTGGGGAATTCCTGGGAATTCTGATGGGATTGATTCATCCCTGGGGAATTCCTGGGAATTCTGATGGGATTGATTCATCCCTGGGGGGAATTTTGGGAATCCTGGTGGGATTGATTCATCCCTGGGGAATCCTGGTGGGATTGATTCATCCCTGGGGTATCCCGGGAATTCTGGTGGGATTGATTCATCCCTGGGGAATCCTGGTGGGATTGATTCATCCCTGGGGGGGAATTCTGGGAATTCTGATGGGATTGATTCATCCCTGGGGAATCCCAGGAATTCCTGATGGGATTGATTCATCCCTGGGGGGGAATTCTGCTGGGATTGATTCATCCCTGGGATATCCTGGGAATCCTGATGGGATTGATTCATCCCTGGGGAATTCTGATGGGATTGATTCATCCCTGGGAATCCTGATGGGATTGATTCATCCCTGGGGGGGAATTCTGCTGGGATTGATTCATCCCTGGGATATCCTGGGAATCCTGATGGGATTGATTCATCCCTGGGGAATTCTGATGGGATTGATTCATCCCTGGGAATCCTGATGGGATTGATTCATCCCTGGGGGGGAATTCTGCTGGGATTGATTCATCCCTGGGATATCCTGGGAATCCTGATGGGATTGATTCATCCCTGGGGGGAATTTTGGGAATTCCTGGTGGGATTGATTCATCCCTGGGGGGAATTCTGGGAATCCTGATGGGTTTTCTCCATCCCTGAGTGGATTTCCGGGAATCCTGCTGGATTTCTTCCATCCCCATGTGGTTTTTGGGAATTCTGCTGGGTTTCCTTGATCCCTTTATGGATTTCCTGGAATCCTGCTGGGATTCCTCCATCCCTGGGTGGATTCCCAAGAATCCTGGCAGGTTTCCCCCACCCCCAGTGTGGATTTTGGGAATCCTGCTGGGATTCCTCCCTCCCTGGATGGATTCCCTGGAATCCTGCTGGGTTTCCTCCATCCCAGTGTGGATTTTGGGAATCCTGATGGGATTGATTCATCCCTGGGGGGATTCCCTGGGAATCCTGCTGGATTTCCTTGGTCCTTTCATGGATTCCCTGGAATCCTGCTGGGATTCCTCCATCCCTGGATGGATTCCCGGGAATCCTGCCGTGTTTCGTCCACCCCGGTGTGGATTTTGGGAATCCTGCTGGCTTTCCTTGATCCCTTTATGGATTTCTGGGAATCCTGCTGGGATTCCTCCATCCCTGGGTGGATTTTGGGAATCCTGATGGGTTTCCCCCCCTCCCTGGATGGATTCCCGGGAATCCTGCCATGTTTCCTCCACCCCGGTGTGGATTTTGGGAATCCTGCTGGCTTTCCTTGGTCCTTTCATGGATTCCCTGGAATCCTGCTGGCTTTCCTTGGTCCTTTCATGGATTCCCTGGAATCCTGCTGGCTTTCCTTGGTCCTTTCATGGATTCCCTGGAATCCTGCTGGGTTTCCTTGGTCCTTTCATGGATTCCCTGGGAATCCTGCTGGCTTTCCTTGATCCTTTCATGGATTCCCTGGAATCCTGCTGGGTTTCCCCTATCCCAGTGTGGATTTTGGGAATCCTGCTGTCTTTCCCCCATCCCACTGTGGATTTTGGGAATCCTGCTGGCTTTCCCCCATCCCACTGTGGATTTTGGGAATCCTGCTGTCTTTCCCCCATCCCAGTGTGGATTTTGGGAATCCTGCTGGATTTCCTTGGTCCTTTCATGGATTCCCTGGGAATCCTGCTGGCTTTCCCCCATCCCAGTGTGGATTTGGGGAATCCTGCTGTCTTTCCCCCATCCCAGTGTGGATTTTGGGAATCCTGCCGCGTTCCCAGCCGGGATTTCAGCGGCAGGAATCATTCTGCAGGTTCTGGACGAGGCTGACCGGCTGCTGGAGCAGGGCTGTGCGGATTTCAGCGCGGATCTGGAGGCGATCCTGGCGGCGGTGCCGGAGCGCCGGCAGACGCTGCTGTTCAGCGCCACGCTGACGGCCACGCTGAGCGAGCTGCGCGGGCTGGCCGCCAACAGCCCCTTCTTCTGGGAGGCTCCATCCCAGTCAGTGCCCGCAATTCCCACTTTTCCTGCTTTTTTTTGGGGTTTCTGGCTTTTTTGGGGTTTTTTTGGGGTTTTTTTGGGGTTTTTTTTGTGTTTTTCTGGGGGTTTTTGGGTTTTTTTTGGGGTTTTTTTGTGTTTTCCTGGTTTTTTTGGGTTTTCCTGGGTTTTTGGGGGGTTTTTCTGGGGTTTTTTGGGGTTTTTTTGGGGGTTTTCTGGGTTGTGTTTTCCTGGTTTATTTTGTGTTTTCCTGGGTTTTTCTTTGGGTTTTTCTGGGGTTTTTTGGGGATTTTCTGGGGGTTTTTTTGTGTTTTCCTGGGTTTTTTGGGTTTTCTTGGGGTTTTTTGGTTTTCCTGGGTTTTTCTTTGGGTTTTTCTGGGGTTTTTCTGGGGGTTTTTTTTGTGTTTCCCTGGGGTTTTTTTTTTGTGTTTTCCTGGGTTTTTGGGGGGTTTTTCGGGTTTTTTTGGGGGTTTTTCTGGGGTTCTTTGTGTTTTCCTGGGGTTCTTTGTGTTTTCCTGGGGTTTCTTTGTGTTTTCCTGGTTTTTTCTCCTCCTCGGTGCTGGCGGTGCCGAGGAGCCTCCGGGTGTTTTGGGGTGTTGGGGCAAAGGAGGTGGAGGGGCTGGAGAATTCCTGGGGGAGCTGGGAATTCCTGGGAAGGGGCTGGAGAACTCCTAAGGGAGCTGGGAAGGGGCTGGGGGATCCCTGAGGGAGCTGGGAATGGGCTGGAGAATTCCTGGGAAAGGGGGTGGAGAACTCCTGAAAGATCTGGGAATTCCTGAGGGAGCTGGGAAGGGTCTGGAGAATCCCTGGGAAGGGGCTGGAAAATTCCTGAGGGAGCTGGGAAGGGTCTGGAGAATCCCTGGGAAGGGTCTGGAAAATTCCTGAGGGAGCTGGGAAGGGTCTGGAGAATCCCTGGGAAGGGTCTGGAAAATTCCTGAGGGAGCTGGGAAGGGGCTGGAGAATTCCTCAGGAAACTGGGAATGGTCTGGAGAATTCCTGAGGGAGCTGGGAATGGTCTGGGGGAGCTGGGAATGGTCTGGAGAATTCCTGGGGGAGCTGGGAATGATCTGGGGGAGCTGGGAAGGGTCTGGAGAATTCCTCAGGAAACTGGGAATGGTCTGGAGAATTCCTGAGGGAGTTGGGAATTCCTGAGGGAGCTGTGAATGGTCTGGGGGAGCTGGGAAGAGGCTGGAGGATTCCTGGGGGAGCTGGGAATTCCTGAGGGAGCTGGGAATGGTCTGGAGGATCCCTGGGGGGGCTGTGAAGGGGCTCAGGCTGGAGAAAAGCGGGATCAGGCGGGACATTCCCAATGTCCACACGTCCCTGGCAGGAGGGGACAGCCAGGGGGGTCCCAGGGGACACCGGGACAGGAGGGAACGGCCCGAGGGAGCTGCGGGTGGGAGAACAGCGGGAATTTCCTCACGGGAAGGGCGGCCAGGGAAAAGCTGGGGCGATCCCGGAGGTTTTTGCAGGCTGGGTAATGCCGGGATTTGGCTGTCCCGAGGGTGAGGACGGTGGAGCAGCTGGAGCAGCGGTACGTGCTGGTGCCCGAGGCGG